GCAGAAATACCGGCCGAGTCAATCACGTTCTTGTCCGCCTGCCGGTAGATATTACATCGCGCTGAAGAACAAAATCACCCTTGGATGATGTCATCAATGCGGAAGACTTTCATAAGGATCATGAAAGAACACTGATATTAGTGCCCGCCATCAAATGTCCGGATCGCACTTTACTTTAAATACTTTCGATATACTGTACCATTCCTCTTCCTGGATACAAATCTTTTTCGGAAAACCAGTTGAATTCCTATTCTGTGATATAAGCCACAGTTTGCTATATCGACCATGAGATCCTTAGAGATTTTAGAATTTAAAGGCATCACCTTTCCGCTAATATGTTAATTACAACTGCTTCCATGTTTATTTGAATAAGTTTTCGTTTTAATTTGAAAACTCACCGCCGAAGTATAAGGGAAAATGATATTCTAACGATTGCACGTTCCCGTCTTATTTTGTTGTTCTTGCCAGGAGAAACAATTCGTATCATAGTGTAACCAAAGCAGAATAAAACATGGTTTATTTATTCACAACGTAAACAATTTCGTCAATCGGTCAACCGACCAGTACCGACGTTATGCCCCCTGATTCACTGGTGCTCTTCACAGTAGAAAGGCGGGTGAATTTCGAAAGTTCTTTCTGTCGTAAGCACAAGTTTTGACACTGAGAATCAAAAAGTCTGACCATATATTCAACGTTAGTGCAAAGCGCACTTGGCTGAACTGAACTTTGGACAAGCACTGAAACATCGCAGTCCGCTCATATAATCGAGAGTTCATAAATAGTGTAAAGGTGTATTAAAAGGGATGACAAAGGAAGACTCAAATGCCGGAATTTCTTGGGAAAGCCACATAATATGTGGCCAAGGGCAGACCGAGAGCCACAGACTTTATTACATTCACCAATTTCATCTCGCCTAGGAAATCTACCGATGAAACTTGTCTGTTTGACGACGACCAGGAACTTTAGAGAAAGCACCTAAAGCTGCTTCCTCAATAATCACACAGGAGTAGCGCACATTAAATTCAATGAATCGCATGCCCTTCAGTACGTCAGCAAAGATAAGACCAAAGAATTAAATATCTGCTGGTTTGCTGGAGGACATGTCTTTTGTAAAGTGTAAAGTGAATATCACCACCACGACATCTGATTTATCTACCGAAAGGTGGCACTGCGTTGCTGCAATATTCTTTTTCAGTAACTTTCAGAAGCTCTTTGGCACTCAAAGAGGCAGAGTAATTAAGAAAGATAATTTTTCATTATTACTGTTCGAATGAGTCCATCAAACATAAAACTGACATTGTAAAATAAGGTCTCATTACTAGCAAGAATGAAGATTTTGCCTATCGAAAACAACAGAAAGCGGAATTTAAATTTTCGCTCTGCTGATATTTTTTACTTGTTCTTCAATTTCTGCCCTAATGTTTCTCTTAATTATGGTGAAAAGCAAGATCATCTAGAGATCTTGTTCAAGCAATGATTTTTCATAATTATCCAATTACTGAAGACCTGTCTTACCTCTTCGATATTGTCGCCTGTCCCTGCCTAACGTAGAAGATCTGCCGTAGTACGAAGAGTCAGCTGGTTCGAAGGAGTGTTGACTGCTGTATGAACTTTGCTTCATCGTCGGGTACATTCGAGGTTCCGCAGAGTTCTTACGGTAAGGCAGCGGCTCTCGATCGTTGTCGTAGCCGTTGTATGTCGAAGAAGTGTCGTAGCCGTACCGCGGGGGCTCATGATAGTCCAGAGATGACGGTGGCGGAAAGGGCGGTTCGATTCTACACGTGTAACTCGAACTGCGTGTGATCCCGTAAGATGGATACAGCTGAGGCCCGGAAGAATTTGCATAATTGCTGTAATAACCGCGATTACCTCAAACAAAATCAACATTAGAATTTATTAAGCAGAATCGAGCAACTACAGTAAATCATGCAGATGATTATCGGAGACGCGCTGGAGGGTAATGCAGAGCCTGAAACTATCTTGCTGACGGACGTAAATCAGATATGATTGAGAATATTACTTTGTTGCAGCAACGAACATTGCCTAATATTAATCTGAGATCTTTTTTCAAACGGTCAGAGGTCGACTACTGTGCTGTTCAAACATCCTTACATTTAAAAGTTTATGAAAACGACAATCGACCGTATACGCCTACTCCGAAGAGAGGTAGAGTTAAGTTGTACTGTCAAAAAACAGAACGTACTCGTAGGGATGGTTACAACGAATAAGTAAATGGACTGTAGCGTACATAATCTATCGCTATATCGCCTATGACCATACGCCTTATAATCATATCTAATAAGCAATGTTTACTGTACTCTGTAAATGATACTAGTGTGCAAACGTATTTCACGTAGCAAATACATGCACCAGTATCGTTCATAAATGACTACATTGATTATAGTATTAAAACATAGTACAAAACTCTATTTCGAGTACTATCTCTGTTGTAGTGGATTACAAGATTAGTACATAAATTCTTCAAATCTGCACATATTTTCACAATGACATTGCTAAATATTCGTAGTACTCTACCCCATTTCCAGTAGTAACCATATTATCACTATACAAAGTACATTTCCGCGCTAATTTCACCTAGACTTAAGTATAAATATCAAGTAATCCTATAAAATAATGTTACACAAAACTGTAACAGTGTACATTTGACACCCAGTCATATTTACGCCTCTATTCCACACAGGCTCCTCCATAGTAAGTGCAGTGCAGTCGCATAACGTTGCACTAAACCAAAGTAAGCTTACGTTACTGTCTATGTACTAGTATACAAACAGACAATATATAAAATACATTATTATATCAACTTTATCCGGATACCATGTAACACTGAATAGTACTACAACGTATTACGTAACGCTACAGTATTATAACGTACAATCATATTGCAGTGCTGATCTCTTCTATATGAACATAGCTCTAATTATGCTCATGAGCGTTATTTCAAATACTGTCACGTCTATGCTACCATTATAAATGCAGCGCAGCATTCTAACGTAATACTTCTTTCCACTTGGAGCGTTCATGTGTCATCATCGGTATCAGCTTTCTTAGATCCACGGTTGGACGATGGCCTCTCCGAAACTTTGCCACAAGCCTATTTTCTCTGTGATTTTTATCCAACTAGATTCAGCGAACCTCCTTCCAGCTCATCCC